CCCCAAAACCCCCAAAACCCCAAAACCCCGTCAGTTTTAAATCTCAGATTGATTAGAAAATATAATCTTATTATTTTCGAAAGATATAAAATGTCTCAAGATAGCGCTTAAAAAAATGGAGCTGAACTTGGAGATGGTCAAAAAATTGAAGATTATCTTTAAGTTCTTGAAGAACACCGCCGCAATTGCGAAAAAGAGGGCAACTTTGTAGAAGCTGAAATGGCAAAGAGCAGAATTGAAGAGATGAAGGTTTAAGAAGCTCAACGTCAACTGGAATAGCTGGTTTTGAAGCATCAATAAGAAAAAGCTGAATTGGAGGATTAACACTAAAGAGAATACGATTAATTCAATCAGGAGTGGGATTAGAGAATGTCACAAAAAGATTAAGAACATCAGCTTATGTTACAGTAACTAGATGAGCAGCATTAAAGAGATCTTGAGAAAAATAGGATTGATCTTGATTAAAAGATACCAGCCATCTTTAAACCATCATCTGAACTTTTGAATTTAAAGAAGATCTAAGATTAGCTTGCCAAGCAGAAAGAGTACGGTGAGGCTCACAAGGTTTAGCAAAAGATAATAGAGCTCTCAAAGGAAGAAGAGGAAAAGTATTCATAAGTAAGACAAAAGAAAATTGTAGCTGCTGAGACTTTAATGATCTAGAAATAGCAATAGCAGATGAATGCTTTGAGAAAGAAATGTGATAATTCAATGAGTGAAGACAGAAAACTAAGAGAACAATAACATGAGAAGATGCTACAGAAATATTCAAATGTTAAGAGAGAGATTGAAAGCTAATAGAGCCTTGAGAGGATTAAGCTAGAGAAACTATTTGGAAAGCAATTATTAGCGAGTTAATCTTCCTTAAGTTATGGTTTAAAGAAAAATGATCAGGCCTATTCTAGCAAGGGCTTCTCTAGTAACTCATCACCAAAGAAAGGATCATGGGGTGCATAAACAGGAAGAGATAATGCTAGCAAGTAATTATGATAATTATCAAGTATAGAATGAAGTTAATATTCATAATATTCAACCAAGTCTCATTAACTATCTCTTAGTAGTTCATTATATTAATTTGAGAGAGATTATAATCATTTTATATTTAATAAAAACTACTTTATTTTCTTATTTACTAAATTTATTGTTAAATGTTCTTTAAGGGGTTTTGGGGTTTTGGGG